GACTTAAGGAAAAAACCCTATTCAAAATAAATTTAAAAAATATTTTTTTAAACACTCAATTCTTATAAAAAATGTATTTATAAAAAACTGGCATATATAAGATCAAACCAGTATACCCAAATTAATTTTCGCAAAATCGAATGAGAAACAGTTCACTGTTTAATGGTTTGATCTTATATATTTTAAATTTTAAAATATTTAAGCTATATCTTGTAAAATGTTTTTTTCTTCTAGTATTGACACCAGTAAATAAGAAAGGCACAAGAACTTGATGTAAAATCGGCGTTCTCTACCAAGAACTCTATCTCAATTTCGGAATTGCCACTGATACCTTAAAATGTGTATCAAAAAACGATTTAAATGATCTACATAATAAGCTAGAAGGGCGTGTGACTGATCGCACATCATTATAAATATTCCCACGATCTGCGGATCAATTATAACACACAGCACACAGGAGAAACAATAACAATGATGACAAATGCTAATTGAATCATTAACTTGACCCTGGAACAGGTAATTGCTCAACATAAAACACAAAATAGCCACACAAATAAAAACACCGATCATCCGAGTCCAGTTGAAACGATTTAGTTAGATAAATATTGGGGCTAGTACGTGATTCATTGCGAGAGTCTCGGCGCAATTCAAGTGAGGTAAAACTCTAGCTGGGTTTTCACTTTCCAGGTCTTATTTTTGCCAACCGAAATTTCGGACAAAACATTAAAGAGAAACCCAAGCGGATCTAAATGTTTGATTTTTGCCAACAAAGAGGACAATTGTTAATATTGCAGGGGGTGTCCACTCAGAGAGTATTGGCCAAGAGCTTAGCACTCGGCCTAAACCGCAGTATTCCCATTCCACTTTCCACCGGTGACACATTTTCAAAAACATAACAACCCATACTCATAATTCAAGATGGGTTGAATGGACTTCCAGCTTAAACTTGTCAAAAGATTATAAAGTTCTAAGAACGGAATACAAATAAAGAATTTATCAGGAATCTTTACTATTATTTTACTATTATTTTTATATATAATTTTAGGCCCTATCCATATCTTTTCTCACGATTTGAGAGAATTTTCAAAGAGAGAAAAATATAGTTTATAAATTTAACATGCGAATATCAAATGAACTAAAAAAACTAAGGACCTATAAGAATGTATAGTATAAAGATATATAAGATTGTTTTTCTATCTGTTTAGTCACTGATGCTGATACGTGTGCCAATAGTACAAAATATGTCAAAATAGTTGTCGATGTTGAGGTTGTGTCATGTACATATGTATGGTAGTCATACCGCCCCCATATGAGTGGGGCCACATTGTTCGACCCGCCGGGCATGTGAAAAGTGTTAACTGGCTGGAAGCTCTGAGGCAACGACAGTGATGACTTGGCCATGGGTGCACTTCGGCGATGGCCTGGGAGTTTTTTCTTATCCCAGTACTGAGACAATGATTCTTTAATGCCGAGGCCTAAAAGCCTATTACACGGGCAGCCCGTGAATCTCTCGGTAAGTGGTAGCCTCCAAAGCAAAAGCACCATTTCTTAGGCACCAAACACACGCGGCGTATGGGTAATCAAAACAGGCTAGCTGTAAAACCGCACAGGAAAAAATATATTCGATAAAGTGAAATAGAAGATCAAGTCTTAGGAAATATAAAGATTATTTAAATTAAAAAATTATAGCCAAATGTTATAGCAAAATGATGTTTTTTATCTATACAACTACCCATTAAAGTAGTGATGACTAAAATTGGTTATTAAAAAAAATTAACACCTTTTAATATACATACATACTCTCCTCATATAGGCCAATAGATGAATACCAAAACACCTAAACTGAAATACACATTATCCCATTTCGGGACTTGGTATATGTATGGTATAAGTTTTTCACAAATTTCGATAAAGGTTTGCACCATATACCATTTTTTCTTGCTGTGCGTTTGAAGGGAAGAACCAAAAGCAAGATTAGACAGCTACATTTTCCTGGGGCGTTGCCATGATTCGTTGTTCTAATTTGCAAAAGCAAATCACGCTCAGCGGCAACTGCAATCTTGCATCATTCATGCCAGTCGCACGCCCACCAATTATACTTACAAACAGATTTAATTATAATTGAACAACGGGTCGGTTAGTTGAAAAATCTGAAAACTAAAACGTTCCAAATGAAACGAAAACCGCAAGCAAGGTACACCGAGCAAATGAAGCTGAAAATTATGATTGTGATTGTGATGATGGGAACTTGGGAACCTATAGGGCGGAGTGGGTGGAAGTGGGTGGCTACTCCGCCGCAGAGCCACAAATCTCAGACCTGGAGACAATGGAGGCGACAATAAAAACCCAACAAAGCAAAACAAAACGAAACGAAACCATGGCCTTTTCCGTTGAACTTGCACTTTGCATAATTGCATATTACCATCAGCCAAGACCAAGAATACTTCACACGATTATCCATGTGCATTGTGCGAGCCCCCAAAGCCAAATCCCTCGCTAAAGCGGTGACCACCCCCATGGCTCTGATCTCGGGTCTCCGACCTTGGCATTAGTACTTTAATCTAAGAAACTATGGTGTAATGGAAATATGACCAACTGTAAGGATATCTTCAAGTACCAGTAGTCATGGTACACAATACAAAAACTATTGTTTTTAAAAACAAACCATCCAACCTCTAAGGAAACTATTATGATGTATGTTTTCATACAAATTTACTTTTCCATAGTAGGGATCATTTAAAACAAATTGTAAAATTTCAATGGTAAGTTCATTTTTGTTTTTCGAAAAAATACTTTTTTAAATCATGATATGATATTATTTTTTTTCTTAAATTTTTTTATCATTTCACCCTTGTAAATGGGTTTTTTAATCGGGAGGAGTACAAAAGTATGTTGTTCATTTCATACTGCCTACTTTATTGAGCAGACGATTCCAATAGCTCTTACATATGTATGTAGTATCGAAGGTGAAAAGGTCCCTTCACTTTGAATGAGGATCGGCTCGCGAAATGAATCAGATGCAATTGATTAGATGCGTCTCATGAATAACTAGATTCGATAACTCCAACGAGGGGTTTCAGTTCTCATCGATTGAAAGCGAAACAATGAATAATTTGAAGATGCATGACATATCCATAAATCTACAGTCAAGGCGTGGGCAAGGCATAAATCGCTGGCAGAGACAATGCCATGGGCACAAAAATGTAGAACCCCCCATTGAAAGACAGTTTCGGTTTGAATTCTGTAAAAAATATACATATACAAATATATACAGGACTGGGTCGCTATATATATCATGTATTCGTGTATATATCAGTTTATTTAGTCTTCTTCAAAAGTTCTTTGGCGAGCTGCCCGCGGAGCTTCCCTCGTCAAATGGCACCTCGCCTAATCTAAATATTTTCTGTAATTTTTTCTTTCTTTTTCTCTTGTTTTTTTTTAGTCATTCTTTTCGTTTCATTTGATTTTTTTTTGTACGTTCTTTTTTGTCAATTTTTTCTTTCGATTTGTACAAAGAATAGTGCTGAAAGAAAATTAGGTATAGGTTTTATATATGATTACAATTAGGGTTAATATCTGGTACTCTGCTCTGCTCTAATGCATGGGCAAGGTGAGACAGAGAGAGAGAGAGAGAGAGAGCAATTTCTGCGTTAAGAGAAAAAGATAGGTGTAAGAGACAGAGATAGGTGATAGTGGAAAAAGACTGAGCGAGAGGGGGATGGGGAATATTGGGGGTACAGTTGCGTTGCCACCGAATAAAGTTTCGTTGACAATTATAGGTTAATTTTAAATTAGGGATAATATGTATAAATGGTTATAACTTGGGATGGGATGGGATGGGGTATGGCAAGTTTAACTCGGTAACAACAACAGAAAACATGAGGGCGAAATATAAGTTACAAACTATAACAAAATCAAACAATTGGTCTAGGACTAACAAAACAAAAAACTATAGGCGTGTATGTGTAGAAACAGAGATATCGTTCAAAATGCTTAAAATTATAATAAATATTTACGGGTAGGTTCGTGCACACATAGAGAGTAACTTTCTAGGTATACATAACTAACATCGAATAGTGTTTTAGCATTTCTGCTAGTTGTCCTTAACTATACACATAGGTAAAATGTATTTGCGATTCGAACTGAAAATTAAGCTGGGAAAATGCGAGGAATGTTAGGTGTTGTATTGTTTGGGCCCAGTATTGCAACTAGTGCCGAAAAAATTGGACTTATACACTAATAGGCGTTGATCGCAACAGTCCACACACTCCATTCAAACCCCCACGAAATAGCGTTACACAGTACTTTATATCACACATAAATGAATCCCTCTTAAACTGACTGGGAATGGAGTGGCGGCCTGATTGCAAACCGATTTATCTAGCACTTATATCTAGTATTTGATTTAAGTTGTGGTCTTTGAGGTGTACAAAATAAGAAATCAAAAGGGGTCGGGTGGGTAAACAAATTATGTTAGGGAAGTGGGGGCATAATGGATAGTTGTTATATATAGTAATATAGATTATGCATAATAATAAGAATAATATAAAAATAATCACAGACTCGGATTTGCTGATTGAAATCATTTTTGTTTGCTATTAGTTTTTGCTATTTGTGTTTTCCACTACGAGTGTTCAGTTTGTAGTTGATCGGTTTCTTTCGACTTAGTTCTTAAAAAGCTAAAATCACTTGGAATAACTTTAGATATTTATACAGTTATGCTGCCGCACGATTGTATGTGTGCACGTAATATAATTGTTTTTTATTAGTCCATATATATTATATCATATTGTGTAGCATTACGATTACTAGAGTTATACGTATACCTAGGCATATACGACTTTTTATGCGCTTCCAATTATATGTTATCATTTTCTAGCGTTGCGACCCTTAACAAATACAGGTTTCAGGCATTGCAAGCATTGCAACCATTGCAACCTTTGCCACATAGATAGTTACATTTATATCTCTATGTGTTGTCACATGAATAAAAGTTACAATTACATTGATGCAAAGTCAAGCTCAAGTATGGACTTGCTTGGGACCAAATCGGATGCTAGTGCATTGGGATTCGATTTGATTCGATTTTAATAGAGCGGTTTTAGTACATTTTATGTCATATAGGTTTGCTATAATCCTCTGTCGCGCCTTGGCCTTTTCTTTATCTAGTTTGCTTAGTTACAATACAAATGACTCATATTAACATATCATTATACGCTTATCAATATAATTAGAGTTTCTAGATATTATGCTCCTCTGAGAACAATTGCAAAGTACAACGCTTGCTAAATATGATGTTGCACAATTACAATGGTTCTTGCAGATCTTTCGAGGATTTAAGTATGTTTTTTTTTTTTTTAGTGGGAGTGAGAATAATTTAACAATCTCTTTAGTCTAGGCATTTTTCGCATTAGTTTATACACGAATAATCTTAATGGAGTTATGGCTGTTGTTCTAGATGGATAATGATGTTCTCAGCTTTGGAAGGGAGTGTGGTACGTTTACATAAATGTGGCTAGGCGAATATTGAGGGTGTATGTGTGTGGTATGTACATTAGCTTAATATCTAGATTATCAATCGATTATCAAATACGCGGTACACCCACGAAGACTTTGTTCCGCTGATTACTCTCGATCTGGCCCGTATGTTATGTGGGGTGTGGTATTTTATATGCTACGCTACTATATGGTTTGATCTTTCTGCATTCCCAGTTATCGGTTACCATTCTATGTGACTGCGTTTTCTCAGGCCATTATGGTATTGCTTTCTGTGTACACATACATATAATATGCTACAATAATTCAAGTTTATTAGTTAAACTAGTTCACAAGCAAACATAGTTTCGTAATTGTTTTATAGTAGTTACATAAAGGAAAACAAAAGGACAATAAATTTACAAACAACGGGACACAATGTAAAAAATTATTTCAAAAAAAAATAATTCAGGTCAGGGTTATAGCTTAAACACAAGGTAAATTCCTTGGGAGCATTTTTGCGCTTGTTCATTCTTTTTTACTGGATTTACTTATCTTTTTACTTTCAATAAAATCTTTTAGAACCGTCATCGTTAAAAAGCAAGACGCTCAGCTCATTTAACTTAAAACTAAATTGAAGTATTTATAATTATATATATATAGGTAGTGTAAATATATTTCAATTGGTTACATATGCTAATATGCAAGCACACAAAACGGAAATTTTGAGTTCTAATTCTGTATATATAATTGTTTTGTTGTCCAGGTCAAGCTTTAAGCATCCCGCTTAATTCTAAATTTAAATACAAATTGCGGTTAAGAAAACGAAGCACGTTTTAGTCATAGATAAGATTTGTACACTTAAACCTAAATTAATATATTATATATATATGTATACCGTATGGAGTACGGTGTAGACACCCATACTCATACTCACCAAATACATGACATGTACATATATATAGATATATATATATATATATATATATATATATATAAACCGCATTTTATATAGACGAGGGTATACAAGTCTACAGATCAACAATTTGCAACTTTATAATTTAAAGCTAAAGTTCCTCTTAATCCTATATGCCTCCTACTCAACGTCGTGCATCTCTTAACCACTAAAGAGATAATCGATATAAAAAACTTTGGGCTTAATCTAGTTTATATGCTTATCAATCGTGCTTGAGTACGATGCGGGCGGGCGCCTTGGAGCGCTGCTTGTGGCTGCTCCCGCCGCCGCCTCCACCGCTGCTTCCACCTCCCGAGGACGCTCCCTGGCGCTTCTCCAGCCGATCGAAGATGCCTCCTCCAGTTCCCGAACTGCTGCTGCTGCCTCCACCGCCTCCTCCACCTCCTGCGCTACTTTTCCGCTGCAATGCGTTGTGCTCCTCGCGCTGCCTCCTCTCACGCTGCCTGCCGCCATGCGAAGACTGCTGTTGATCTCCACCGCTGCTGCTGCTGCCATTGCTGGTGGGCTTCAGCACCACCCGCCGCTGGCCGGAGCTAAAGCTGGTCGCCGACGTTGAGCCGCTGCTGCCGCCGCCGCCGCGCATCACCTTGTGATTCCGCTTGACCACCAACAACTCCGGCGTGGCCGATCGCTTGCTGCTTGCCTTCTGCTGCGGCGGCGGCGATGGGGTGGCCAACAAACGATCCTCCTCGTCCAGCAGCAGGTCATCGACATCGTAGTCCAGCTCCACCTCATCGTCGCTGGGCGTGCCCAGGCGCAGCATATCCCGCGGTTTCGGTGGAGTGCCGCCAGCCGCAGCTCCCGCCGCTCCTCCCAACGCTCTCGCCGGCAAAGCTGCAGTCACCTGCTGCTGTTGCTGCTGATGATGATGATGCTGCTTGGATGACGGAGCCAAGTGCTCGGTTATGCTGCGCTTCGCCTCTGGCGCTATCTTTGCCGCTGTTAATTGCTTGCGCACCGGCTGCTGCTGGCCTTGGGTTGGCTGGGCATTGGACTGCGACTGCGATGGTGCCTGCCTGTTGCGCACGCTGGCCGCTTCCTGGTCATCGCGACGCTTCAGCGAGATAACCTTGCGTTCGCCGGCTGGCTGGGCAGGCCGATGCTTTGGCGCTCCAGCTGTCGACACTGCAGATCCTTGTCCCGCGGCCACCTCCTGGTCGTCGCGAGCTGGCGAACTGTGCTGTTCGGCGCGTTTCTCCTAGAAAGTTTAGTTTGTTTGTGGAGTTCTCTTGGATTCGGTTCGCTGAATTTAGATACATAACAATAAGGCTGGCTTCGATGTCCGAAGGATCAAATGCCCTTGCAATAGGAAAACAAATATTGTTTCGTATCGAATTTCTTTCCAAACCAGATTTAAGACGGTAGGGTAGAGGTCTTTAAGTTGAGACAGCCAACTTTCTGAGAAATTTGGTTTGTTTTTAAGCTAAAAGGTCAAGTTTTCTAAAGGTTCCTAGCACGTCAAGTTTCATAAGGGAAAGAGATAAAGTTTCCCAACCTACAGACATCTCCCCTACAGTCATTTTCACTAATTTCAGTGTCAGTATTCAGCAAGGGCATTAAAATGGTGTAAAATCTCTCATATTGTTCAACCCCCACAAATATAAAAGAAAATTGACTTACCTCGTGTAGTTTCTCCTCAGCCGCACGCCGACGCTTCAGCTCCTTGTCGCGCATAATCTTCTCGCGCAATTGCTTCTGCTTCTCGATCTCCAGGCGGTAGTTGCGGGTCTCTTCGTCCTCGTCGCTGGGCTGCACCCGGAATGAACAAATAAAATTAGTCGATTTGAGGAGAATGTCTTTCAACTGGGATGATCACTTACCATACTGCGGCTGCCTGATTCAGAGGGTCGACCGCGTGGCTCGCCGGAGAAGGGATTGCGTACGGCGCCTGACCCGGCTGAGCCACTTCTCCGTCGCTTGGGAGGTGCCGCTCCGCTGGCTGGCACTCCGCCCGCTCCTTGGGCACTGGCTGCGCTCGCACTGCCACGATTCTCGTCTCGATCCCGGCTGGATGCTCGTCGGAATCCTCCTCGGGGTCCTGGCGGCCGATTGGCGCCATATCTTTCACGATCTCGCTCCCGATCCCGCTCCCTCTCCCGATCCCTTTCACGCTCCCGCTCTCGATCGCGTTCCCTTTCCATGCGCTTCACCGGTGAGTAGCTGCGGCCCCGGGAGCGACTGCGGCTGCGTGTCCGTCTGCGCTCGCCTGCCTGGCCAGAGGCGACGGCTCCCGAGTTGGAACCTGCCGACGGGGGCGAACGTTCCATGCGTCGCTTCTCAAAGTACTGCCGATTCTTGTTGATGAACTCTTCCTGCTGGCGCAGCAACTCAGCCTCGCTGTTGATGGCGGGCATAAAGTGGGTCTCCTTAATGAACTTGTTGGTGGCCGCCTCAACGCCGCCCTTGAAATTCGGATTGATGAGCACCTTGCTCACGCGTGGCACCGATGAAGAACCCTGCTGCTGCTGCTGTGGTGGTCCATTTGGCTGCGGCTGCGGCTGTCCAGGATTACCCGGCTGCTGCGAAGGATGCCCCGATTGCTGCGGTGCTGGCTGTTGCTGCTGCTGCTGCGGTGACTGCTGGGGCGGCGGACCTCGCATTCCCATGCCGTTGGCGTAGTTTGGCGGGGCGCCGGGCATCATGTGCAGCGGCAGAGTCTGGAGAGGGGGCCGCTGCATGCGCGAATTGTCGCCCTGCGGCCGCCAGCCGTTGTGCGGCCGCATAAACTGCGGCGGATGCTGGGGCGGATGGCCCTGATCGTAGCCATACGAGGGCGGGGCGTTACGGTACAGCGGCGGACGCATGCCCGTCTGCTGCTGGTGTGGCGACTGGTGCTGTTGGTGCGGTCCAGGCCCCGGTCCCGGACCCAGAAGCGCTCCATTGCGATAGCCACCGGGATTAGGGGCATACGCCAGCGGCGGTGGCTGCAGCAAACCCACACGCACCTGCTCGTGCGGATGCGTCAGCAGGTGGGGCGGGACGCCACCGTTCGGATTGTGACTGTGGTGCATCATGTGCGAATGCGTGGGAGTGTGGAGGGGAGAGGCGGGAGCGCTGTGTGGCTGTTGTGTGTTGGTCGGTGCTTGTTGTGATGACTGGTTGGGTGGCTGAGTTGGCGGGTACTGGCCTGGAATTGGAATGAATGTCGGATTGTTCAGTGTTTGCTGTTGCTGCTGATGGGCTTGATGACTTGGATGGGCTTGTGGTATTGACAGGGTGAGTGGGGAGACGGGAACGGTTAGTGGGAGGAGGCAGGCGGCGGAGGAAGCAGCACCCACTGGCGTGCTCATCAGAGCCAGGTGCTGTGGTTGTGGAGCATTACCCGGCATGCCATATCGCTGTGGCGGCGGCTGCATTCCGGCCATGCCCATGCGTTGCTGCTGAACGCCAAACATTGGCGAGGGGTTACGTAGCAGGTGGTGGCGAGTTCCGATACCGCGCGGCGGCTTGCCCATTTGATTCTGCTGCTGCTGCTGGCCATGCATAAAACGTCCACCGCCGCCGACACGAGGTTTGTCTGCAATTATAGATTAAAGAGAAGACATTAGGACAGAGTTTAGGATTTAAGGAGGCTAAAACGCACCTCCATGGCCGTGGTGTCGCCGCTGCTGATGCTGGTAGGGCGACATGTGTGCGTGTTCCAGTTGTTGTCTCATACTGCTGTCGGCCCGCTCGCTGGCCGTCTTGTAATTGGTGCGCTCCTCGCGCTCTTCGTCGTCCTCGCGCGGATCGGGCAGCTCTGAAATCAGTGAGGCTGAGCTGACGGCACTGGGCAGGCTCTCCTGGGAGGAGGCCAGTAGCGAACTGAGGCCAAGTCCTAGCTCACTTTCGCTCTGGCTGCCTGCATTCTCTGCCGCCTCTTCGCCGTTGCCATTGTTGGGGCGAGCTTCCAACTCGGCGCAATCAGCGGGTGGAGCCACTTCGTTGGCTTGCTGCACTGGCGGTTCCTTCTGAGTGACTGCCACCAAGTCATCCGCTGGCTCTGCTGCCACAGCGTGGATTTCCTTAGGTTGTTTCTCTACTGTGCCGCTGGGCGGGTTAACTGCCGCCGGTGAGGCAATAGCTGCAACTGCAGCAGGATTATGAACTGGGGCAGGAACTGGGATCGTGGGCTCTGGGTAAGTCCTTGCCGGCGCCACCTCTGATCTCTGGACTCCCGAAGCTGTGGCTGCAGCTGTAGCTGTGACTGCCACAGCGGCTGCTGCTGCTCCTGCCTGCAATTGCTCCTTGTGCTTGCGTTCGTGCTGGCGAATCTGCTCCTGGGCCCATTCCTCGGCCTCGGCGCGCATCTGCTGCTTCACCTCGCTGGTGACATCCTTTTCGAGCTCTGTAAAGTGCGGGGGAGGAGGTTTTTAGACCAAGATCAGCTGGGTGAGGAGATGGAGTGGGAGTGCTGGTACTAACCTTCGTCCGAGAGTAGCAACTCATCCTCGTCGGCGCCGAGCAAGGCCTGGTCATCGATGTCGTCGCCTAGCTCGTAGTTGAGCAGGTCATCGCTGCGGGGGGAGATTGGTGGAGAGTGGAGAGAGGATAAATGAGAAAGGCGAAAAACCAAGGTGAAATGAGACTTTTCTCCTTCGAGGTTCCATTGAAAAAAGAAAAAAATCACCCACACATACACACACAGCCGGGGGCATTCACTCACACGCACATCCACCCACACACACAGACTGCTGCAGGCAGCCAGAAAATGTTATACACATGCAGACCTCCCCCGCCACTGCTTTTGGCTGGGGGTTTTGCGAGACCCCCCTCCCACGACCACTGATCGCAGGATAAGTCCTTGGAGCCCCTCGACGATTCGATGTCACCCACTTTTTCGCATCCACTTACTTAATGTCCGACATTTTTTTGCCAGGGCAGCTGTTGACACTCGGCGGCGCGCGCGTGTGTGTGTGTTATTTAGAGAAGTAGAACAGCGTTGGTCCACTGGCTGCGCGCCTCTTTACCACATTCTGCCGATCCTCGGGCAGTTAACGCACTCAGAACCGTAACGCGCGCGTTTTTTGCAGTCGATAAATAGATACCCGAAAGGTATGCAAAAACTAGGGCCTTTTCACACGCAGTTTGTGTAAATTTTTCGAGGGATGCAATCCGTATTAGAGCTGACACTAAAATCGATGTTTGTGCGAGACTATCGGTGAGGCGGTGCTGCCAGACAGTTAAAAATATCGATGACATCGCTTATTTTGACTTATTAATACAAATCAAACAAATTAAAAATGTTAAATCATTTAATACAAATAAGTTACTAAAAACAAATTATGTTTCATAGTTTGTCGTTTTTTAAAAATAATTTTCTCATCCTAACGATAAACTATAGTTAGTTTTAAGACTTAAAAATAAATTTTACAAGACTTTTGCGCTAGAGTGATTTCTGTGGATCCTCCAAAATTTATATTTTTTTTATTAAATCAGAACATTTGTTAAAAGAACCGAACATTTTCATTTGAGTTGGTCTTGTTCTAACAAGAATGATATCAGAATCCCCATATAGTTTAGTTCAAGAGCTGGAGATATGGCAGCACCGGCATCCGTTTCACAACACTTTACTGTCAGTGTGCGAAATGACCGGATTTATGTACAGTTTGAAGTTTACCGGTTTAGCAGCAAGTCACTTGGCGTCCATTTTTCTAATTCGAATTATTTAAACAATTCTACTTATTTGAACACGCACTTTATGAAAGCCGCAGAACCATAGACAATGATTTTCACCGAGCACAAGGCGAAGATCCTGGCAATGACGGTCGAGCATGTGGACGACCTGCACCAGCTTTGGTCCCGCATGTTCGAGCCGCAAACCTGCGAGGATTGCCTCATCCGTTTGATGGATCACGCGAGCAGCTTCTACAAGGATCTCCTCAAGGAATCGCGCGAGAAGGAGCAGGGCATCAACAGCGAGATAGACGGACTGCAAAAGGAGGCCGCCACTCTGATGCGGCTGCTCCACAAGTCGGTGGACGTGGGCGAGCGTCCGGACGACATGCCGCTGGTCATCTGGCAACTGAAGCTGGACAAGACAATCGAGCATCTGCGTGAGGAGCTGGTCGAGCGAAGGACTGAGATTAATAAGCTGCTTGACCAGCAGGAACAGCTCTGCGAGGAGCTGGGCGAACTGCCATTTCCACTGGCAAGCGACTTGCCCGACGAGCTGGACGCCTTTCGGTCTCACCTGCAGCAGCTGCGCGATCTGAAAGAGCTGCGCCTCAAGCAGATGGACCTGATGCGCAAGAACATCAGGCACAACATGAAAACACTCGAAATTTATGCCCATACGGACACCGAAAAGCGACTTCTTAGCCCGGAGTGTCATGATATCAGACCCCAATTTTATGAACTGCTGCAAGACATGCAAACAGAGTACGCCGTGCAGGTGTCGGAGCTGCACGAGCGCATCGACGAGATGCGCGCAAAGATCGAACTCCTCTGGCAGCGACTTAAGCTGACGGACGAATATGCCATGGGTCGCGTGCGCAAATCCACGTCCTACGACCAGCGCACCTTCGACATCCTGCGTGAGGAGCTGGAACGCTGCCAGGCACTGCGGCGCCAGAACCTCAAGACCTTCATCGAGCAGCTACGCGTCGAGATCCATGAGTGGTGGAATTTCACGCTCAAGAGCCCACAGGAGCGCAGGCGCTTCACCGGCTACTACTGTGATAACCCTAGCGAAGAAATTCTAGAGCTGCACGAAATGGAGTTGGACCACCTTAAGGAGTTCTACAACAGTAATAGGAAAATCTTCGAACTGTATGCCAATCGTGCGCTGCTTTGGTCACGCCTGGAGGCACTGGAGGCCAAGGCCAACGATCCGAATCGCTTCAACAATCGTGGCGGACAACTGCTCAAGGAGGAGAAGGAACGCAAGGCCTTGGCGTCCCGACTGCCCAAAATCGATCAGCAAATCACAGAGCTAGTGACGGCCTACATGAGCCACAACAACACGCCGTTCCTGGTGAACGGTGTGGATATACTGGAGAGCATGTCGGCGGACTGGGAGCAGCACCGTCAGTCGAAGAAGCAACCGTCTGCCCAAAAAAAAGACGTAGTGGTTAACACGACCAGCAAAATGAAGCCGCCAGTAGTGCCTCTGACGCCAAATACACTGAAAGGCAACCGGGGCAAACACGGATCCTCGTCATCATTGAAGAAGACCCCGTCCAAGGTGAACGCCAGCACCGCCGCCAAGAGCACGGGGAATCTGCAGAAGAGGCGGCATCCCAACGAAGGCAGAAACAATCCTCAGCCGGCGGCAGCGGCCAAGCGAAATCTAATAATCTCACTGGAGTGCGTCAGTTCGGAGCCAGTGCTGGGAGTGAATGGCCAGACGAGCGCTGCCGCCAAGAGCACAGAGAATGTGCAGAAGAGGCGCCATCCCAACGACAGCAAGAATATGGTGGCGGCAGGGCCCAATCGAAATCTAATAACCTCGGTGGAGTGCATCAATTCGGGGCCAGGCCTGGGAGTGAATGGCCAGAAGCTGCTGAAGTCGCCACTGAAGAAGGTGCGAGTGCTGGAGTACTCGGTGCGCCGCGGAAAGGCCGCGGGCAGGCCCAGCATTGGCAGCAAGAACCACCCGAGGAATCGTCCGATCCCCCAGCTCCGTGTGCAACCCCCGTCCGGCGAGGAGAACGAGGATGACGACGATTACGGGGACGAGAAAGAGAACGAGGACAGCGGAGACTTCTAGGCTTACTCGGCCTATTAACTAAGGATCCTTTAGGATCTTTAATCCCATCTAATTGCAATCTAATCGGCAACTAATCTGTGTTCCATCTCTACCTGTATTGAAGTATTTCGCTCAATTACTCAAGACTCAAAGAGCAGAAGCATAGTCAATGCCCAGCTTTGCTTTTTGTTATACACTTTTAGTAAATAGTTTAGACCTTTTGTGAGCAGACCATTTGATATTCATATTTGATACACAAAGACCACCTAAATTGAAAACTTGATGTGTGGTCCCACATGATCACTTTGTTTCGGCTATAACCGTGTCTGAGTAAATGAGCAAATGGTCGACTTTTAAATTTTAGTAAAATAAATATGTATGTATTTTTACACTACCAAGTCTTGGTTATTTTTTTTAAATTGTCCAATGTACATAAAAAAGGGGCTCATCTTGAGAAAATCAAATGAAGGCGGTTTTTATTTGTTTAATAACATCTATATTTTAAGAAATTCAAAGAATACCTAACGGTGTACATATATTTTTAGCAAATGCAAGGTCTGAAAGCAGTTACAAGTAACAGATTCTGGAATATTCCTAAAAAAAATTAGGCTTCGTTGATTAAATTAAACTGTCAAAATGTTGTTTACAATTTTGTTAATAAATCGGAATTCGCTAGGGGCTGTTATATTGTGCAATATTTAATAGTTGAATTTTTACAAATTGAAATGGAACCGTACCAAATTTAAATTAATTTTTTAACCGATTAAATGGGGTATTCCCATAGCTGCAGCCCTGATCCAAGTCGTTTTGCGAAATCTGGCAACGCTGCCCACAAACAGGGTGGCAATACTTTTTGGCCGCCATTTCAGTTTGAATTTACCGAAATTTCGTCTGGCGTCATCGTTTCATTCAGTACTTAATTTCGTGCAGCGATGCACTCTAAATAAACCCACATTGCATTCCCAATCCAATCCAATTCAATTCTCGAGTCAAAATCCAAGTAACGATCGCACGCATTCGGCAATTCGCCAGACAGAAATGCCGAACAAATAGAGATCCCAATCCCAAGTGAAACCTTCAATCCAAAAAACAAACATAAAGATAGAAACAAGCATTTTCGCAGAAATCGAGATCATGAACACGCCGAGTGCCACCGCGGTGAAGGCCCAGATCCTGGAGATGACGGGCGAGCACGTGGACCAGCTGCATGCGATGTGGTCGCACTTGTTTGAGCCAAAGACCTGCGGCGAGTTCCTCCACCGGCTAAAAGATCATGCCCACAGCTTCTTCACGGATCTGCTGAACGAGTCGCGCGAGAAGCAGCAGGCCATCCTCGGCGACATAGCCGCTCTGCGGGCGGAGGCTACCGATCTGACCCGCCTGCTCCACGAAACGGTGGACATTGGCGAGCGTCCGGATGACATGCCGCTGGTCATCTGGCAACTGAAGCTGGACAAGAGCATCGAGCATCTGCGCGACGAGCTGGGACGCCGGCGGGCGGAGATCTGTGAGCTCCTCCTGCAGCAGGAGCAGCTGTGCGAGGAGCTGGGCGAACTGCCGCAGCCGCTGCTGGCCGATCCACTGCCCCTGCCCGAGGAGATGGATGCCTTCCGGGATCGTCTCGAGCAGCTGCGCGACCAGCGAGTGCTGCGCCTCCAGGAGATGGACCAGCTACGCCAGAGCATCAAGCACGACATGAAGGTGCTCGAGTGCCTGCCCCAGACGGATGCTGAGGAGCGTCTGCTCAACCAGGTGGATCACTGCCTCACGCCGGAGACCTTCGAGCGGCTGCGTCACATGCAAAAGTCCTTTGCCGACCAGGTTAAGGAGTTGCGCGAACGCATCGACGATATGCGCGACAAGATCCACGTTCTCTGGGACCGGCTGCAGGAGACGGACGAGTATGCCATGCGTCGCGTGCGCGAGTCCACCTCGTACAACCAACGCACCTACGATGTCCTGCGCGAGGAGCTGCAGCGCTGCCAGGCCCTGCGACGACAGAACCTCAAGACCTTCATCGAGCAGCTACGCATCGAGATCAAGGAGTGGTGGGATCTTACGCTGAAGAGCCCACAGGAGCGAAAGCGTTTCTCCAACTACTACAACGACTGGTACAACGAGGATCTGTTGGAGCTGCACGAACTGGAGCTGGACGACCTGAAGACCTTCTACAACAAGAACAAGGAAATATTTGATCTTTACGAGAGCCGGGCTGAGCTGTGGGCGCGCATGGAGGCACTGGAGGCCAAGGCCAGCGAACCGAATCGCTTCAACAACCGCGGCGGCCAGCTGCTCAAGGAGGAGAAGGAGCGCAAGGCCATTACGTCCAAGTTGCCCAAGATTGAGCATCAGATCACCGAACTGGTGCAGGCATACGAGGCCCAGGAGAACACGGCCTTCCTCGTGCACGGTGAGAACATACTCGAACGGATGGCCGCCGACTGGGAGCGCCATCGCCAGGCCAAGCAGCAGAACTCGGCCCGCAAGAAGGCCCCGGCGTCGGCCAGCAAGATTATGCCGCCACCCGCTGCAGGATCAACAGCTCCTCGCACGCCACGCACTCTGCGCAACATGTCGACCTTCTCCAGCTCCACCATGTCGCTGCGCAAGACGCCCTCGCAACAGCACCTCCGACCGCTGAACGTGACCAAGAGCACGGGCAATCTGCACAAGCGGCTAAATCCAAATCCATCCGGTCTGCAGACGGGCCCCAGGACGCCGAACGCCAAGCGCAGCCTGATGAATACCCTGAACTCGATGAAGGCGTCGCCGGCGCAGCGCCTGCTTGCCGCCAGCCAGCCGCAGAGCCACCTGAAGGCCACCAAGTCGCCGCTAAAGCGCGTGCGCGTTCTGGACAATACACTGCGGCGCAGCGGCGGCATGGGCAGACGGAGCATTGGAACGCGCTCCAGCAAGAAGCCGCGCACCAAGTCCACGGACCAGGACGCACCCAACGACACGGACTACACCACGGACGAGAATGCCGAGCATGGTGTGAGCTATGACGAATTCCAGCCCACCAGTCGCTCCTCAATGCTGCCGCGCCAGCGACACCAATTGGCCGTACCCAGAAAGCGCCACCCGGAGGTGAATCCCAATCTGCCAGTGCCACGGGAAAGCCTGATGGTGGTGCAGCCACGGAGGCAATTCTAGTTTAAGTTCCACTGCGGATCATCTGAAATTAACACGTACCTACTATCCTTAACAGTTGGCGTTTCTTTATGTATTTCATTTTATTTTCTGTTTTACGTTTTCATAATAAAAAAAAATTATGTGAGTTTTTTCTTGACCACAAGAGTGTGTTTCATTTTTACCTTGGTAAGAGGAAGAATTCCGTTGTAGCCAGTAAGATTTTTAAAGTATTCATAAATAGTAAAAATCCCATTGGAATTCAATTCGAGTATTATCTCCATTGAGGATCATTGCATTACTTGTTTGTATAAAGACCATAATACCTTATTCCATTTTTGAATCGATCGATTTTTAGCGAATTAGAATAAAACACTTGAAGTTAATAGATAATCTCAGTATTAAACACTTTTCAAACTGCTTTACTATATGTCTATCATTATTAAAAAACTTATAAGTGAATCACTTATGTAGAACGCATAACCTTAAAGTTGTGTCCCAAAATGGATGAGCTGTAGATCACAGGAGAATCCGATTGTTACAATATTTTAAAATCTCTATAAACTGAATCTAATGTTACTCTATCCTTAACTATGAACACTTATATATGAGGGTTAAAAACAACTGGATTTAATTATAGATTGTTTTACTATGTTTTCACGTTTATTAGCTCATCAAATTAACTTATTAGGGAGATGGGAGCGAGTTTTACTTTAATATACATACGCACTTATGTAAGCTATATAAAAATTGTTACAACCGCCTACATTGCGCACTAAGATGTAAGCAGTTCTTATTCGACTATTAAATACATATTAACACATTAAAATGGCCGGCATGGTTGATGCCTACGCTTGTGATGAACCCTTCAAATGGCCAACAGCCCGGTGGCGGCTCTCTCTCCTCTCCATTCCGTTCTATTCCGCCGGCTATATACAGAGGGAAGCTTAAGACTATACTGGAATAGTTGTTGTGTGTTCGGTTTGAGGTGGAGCAGTGTCCTCTGGAGCAGGAGCACGCAGTGCAGCATCGATATGGGCCAAGACGATGGCTATTTGCCCGTGTCACTTCCGCTCTGGCTGTGCTGGCTGCTTCCTCCGTGATTGTACATGAGATGCGCTGCAATCGGAAGGGATATCCATAGTTTAGACAAGGAGGGAGATATTTCTTAACAGTGCTTACCCATAACAACAGGCGGAAAGTTGAAGGCGCCAAACGGAGCCGCCGCCGCATTCACTGTCGTGGGCACGAAGCTGGCTCCATCAAGGGTGACGGCTGGTGTAGCGGCCGCAGGTCCCGGCGCCAGGCCAGAAGATTGTGTGGCATTGTACGTTCCCGGTGAGTGGATGACGGTGGTCGCGGATGAGCTCTCAGTGCCGGCAGCTGCTGCCACCACGGCCAACTGAGGATCCAAATCATGTGGATACCGTGCCGGTGGCATGACCACGGTGGTCAGATGCGACTGCCCGCCATCGTCCAGCAGCCCTGTCCGCTGCAGACGCCCCGTCTTCGTCTCGATGTGCTTGTTGTGGGCGCTTAAACAGTGATTGCGCATATTGTACAGCTGCAGGAAGTAGGCGTCGCAGTGCGGACACTTGTACCGCTCGCCCGTATGCCTACGGATGTGCGCCTTGAGGTCGTTGCTTTGCGTGAAGCTCTTGGGGCACTGGTCGCACTTATAGGGCCGCTCGCCGGTGTGCGTGCGCATGTGGATGGTCAGGTTGTAGGCCCGGTGGAAGCTCTTGCCGCATGTGTTGCACAGATTCGGCTTGGTGCCCGTGTGGTAACTGTGGAAAAAAGGGTCAGCTATTATAAAACATGATCTTCTGTATTGCAAGTCCCGTCATATTTTGGCTCCCTAATTTATAACCCCATCTATAACATAGTTTGGAGCACAACTTACCGCTCGTGGACCTTGAGATCGGTGGCGCGGGGGAAGGCCTTGACACAGTAACGGCACTTGTAGGGCTTTTCACCATTGTGGCGACGCATGTGCACTCGGAGGTAGTCGTTGCGAGCGAAACTGTCGCCGCAGATGCAGCACAGGAAGTTGCGCTGCCCGGTGTGGGTCTTTTCGTGTTCCCTGAGCTGCGCTCGTTCGCGGAATGTCTCCTCGCAGGTCTTGCAGGCGTAAAGGAAGTCGGTGTGCAGCAGCGTGTGCTTGCGCAGGTAGGTCTTGCTGGAGAAGCGCTTTGAGCAGTACTCGCATGTGTGCTCCGCCAGCTGGAGCTTCAGTTCGCTGCCCGGCTCCAGGCCCTCGCCATTGTGCTTGCTGACCTTGTGACGCTCCAGGGCGTCCAGTCGCGAAAAGGCAGCCTCGCAGAGCGAACACTTGTGCTCCTTGTTGCTGTGCAGGCTCTGCACATGCGCCTTGAGGTGGTCGCTGCGCGCGAACGCCTTGGGACAGTGCGGGCAGTTGTGCGGCTTTTTCTCCAAATGCGACAGCTTGTGGCGCAGCAGGTGGCAGTGGCGCGAAAAGGTGCGCTGGCATACTTCGCAGCGGTTCTCGGGATTTGGTTCGCCCTTATTGCGGCGCCGTCGCCTTCCGGACTTGGACTTCTTCGGCGGCTTCTCGCCGTCTAGCGGCTCCTGCTTGAGCCGGAATTCCCCATCCTCGTCTTCACCACCGTCCTCGTCGTCGTCCTCATCGTCATCCAGGTCGCTATCATCGTCCCCGAACTCGTCGAATCGGTCTTCGTCACTGAGCGTCAGTTCGCCGCTGACATGCAGCTTCATGAAATCTTCCACTCCCATTGGTGCCTCGTCCTCGCTGCCCACAAGGTGGCTCTCCTCCTTAATGCTAAACTGAGAGTCGCCAATGGCAATGGGCTCATCTGGAAAATGCGCAAGGGTTTTGTGTTAGTTCTTACATCCTTGTGACCACAATGCATTGGACACCCACCCTTCACAGGCCGATCCATGGAGCCCTCGGCTTGGGCCTCCGCCTTCTCCCGCCGTCGACGCTTCTTCTCGAGCTTCAGCTGCATGGCCAGGTCGACCTCCTCCGCCTCCAGGCAGGGCTCCGGCTTGATGTGCAGCCACAGCGTTTGATTGGCCACATTGGGCTCTTCGTCCTCCTCATCGTCATCCTCGTTGCTGGAAATGGGGTTCGTATTGCACTGGAAGGCTTCACCGACTCCGTCATGGTCGTCGTCATCCTCGTTCAGCAGCACCTCGGCGGAGACCAGCTCGTCCCCGCCGTCGCTGTTCATGGTGTTCTCATCCGCCGGCGGCCATGTGCGCAGGAGGTCGTCCTCCAGGTCGCGATGCTTGTTGCGCATATGGCGCAGCAAATGATCCCGTCGGCTAAAGGTGCGATGGCATTGGCCGCACTGGAGTCGCGTTACCTGCTCGTGGCTGCGCGCCAAATGGCTGCGTAGCTGACGGAGATGCGGGAAATGCTGCGGGCAAAACTTGCACTTGAATTCCTCGGCCTGCTGCTGGCCATCCGCCCCCGTAACAACGCTGCCATCCTTGTTCGTTCTGTGCACCTGGTTGCGATGCAGGCGGAGCTCCAGGCTGTTAAGGAACTGGTCGTGACACATCTCGCAGGGCAGCAGGGCCACCTGGTCCGTCTGGCTGGACGCCTCGGCGCCACGGGCCTTCAGCTGGGGCGAGCGGCCCAGCAGGGCCACCAGCGAGCAGTAGGAGCGCTCCGCGTGCCGCTTGAAGCGATAGGCATGGCGGGCCGCCTCCACGCAGGGGCCGCACATATGCGGGGGCATCCCGTCGTGCCGATGACACTGGTGCAGGGTGCACTCGTCGAGGATGCGGGCCAGATTGGCGTCCTCCTCGACGGGCGTGTCGTTGAAGATGAAGTGCAACTCCCCGTCCAGCGAGGCGTCCTTCAGGCAAACGCGACAGACGCGCTCCGTGTCCATGGTGTCCACTGCGTTGAGGAGCACCAACTTGCTGCCCGCCGGCTGGCCAACCGACTGCTCGTGCTCCTGACCCGAACATGGCTCCAGCGGCGCGTGCGGCTGGTGCGTTGCCATGGCTGTTTCGCGTCCTTAGGTCCTTGCTATTGCATGTGGGCATCAACAATTAGAGCAACTGCTGCTGCATTTCCTTAATTTTTTTTTTACCAATACAAGGCGTTTGTTGTGACCTCAAGTGCGGTCATACTGGTAGCGCCGTTCGCTGGCTAACCGAGTACGGGCACATGAAACATCGATAAATATTGTGTGGCCGATACTCCCTCAGTATTTTCGACGATCACATTTTCCAGCCATATCTGGCTATTTTTATTTTCCATAAAATATAAGTTATTTAATTGTTAAGAAAATAAATTAGTCATTTAAAAAGTTATCTTGGGCTTATTACCTTTGTTTTTTATTTTACCCACCACTGCTTTCTCCCATGCCCAATGAACAAAACTCCTTACATTTGTATCAAAAATATAATTATTTACAAGATTCCTTAACAATCTAAGAAAAAATGTCATTATAAGGCTCAAATTTCTTTTCCAGCTCCCGCGTCCACAATTAACGTCAACTGTCCTTGCGTCGGATTCACCCAGGCAGCGGGAAACTTCTTGTCCAGATCGACAAATACACTCTGAAATTAAAAAAAAATTATAGATAATTTAAAAATAGATACAAATTTAAATTTATTAAAAGAAACTTTTCAGCCTTATCAATATTATTTTGATATTTTTATTAAGTACTTGAGGTTGCTAACAAGTAATAAATGGGAGATTATATTTATTAAAAAAGGATATCTTCTAGTCAAAACCTAACTCTACCTTTTTAGTATACCTAGTATTTGAACTCACCTTGACGACACTGGCTTTGCCGACACCCGTGACCACGAAGGCCACATCACGGGCGCCATTGATCAGCGGCAGGGTGAAGGTGATCCGCTCTGGTGGCGGCTTGGGCGAGTTCCGGATGGGGATGACCAGGCGCTGGGACTCCTGGAGCGTGGCCGGCTGCTCGGGGAAGAGGGAGCAGGTGTGGCCATCGGGTCCCATGCCCAGCAGCAGAAGGTCGAACCGATCCACTTGATCCCTGACCTTTGCCTCGTAGTCCGCCGCACAGTCGTCCAGTGGCTTGGTAGTATCAGCCCGAACGAACTGGGAGTCTTTAATGCTCGGCAAATGGGTCAGCCAGTCGGCCTTGTAGGCACCATAGGTGGAGTCGCTATCATCCAGGGGCACATATCGCTCGTCGCAGAAGTAGAACACCCACTTCTCGGTTTTTAAAGCGCCGGATTTCAGGGCTTTCGTCAGCAGCTGGATAAGGGAACCACCTGTAAACGCAGTGAGACACTTGACTTTGGGAGTGGAATTTCACAGATCGCACCTGGGGCAAGGTCACCTCAAGTTGGGCTTATCAGCAGACCAGTCACTTGACATTTCTGACCCCGATCCCGATCCTTACCTGAAAGCCCTACGCTGAACTTATCCTGTCTGGCCAAAGCCTCCTGGGAGCAGCGCTTCAGGAGATTAGCCAGCACCTGGACCAGCTCTTCCTCCGAGTTGGCGCGGTTTACCTTCAGCGGACTCTTTCGCTCCGACATATTGCTGATTTGATAATGAAACCCCGACTCGACTCGCCGATTTCAATAAATCACACCAACTATCGATTACTAAATTGGTTAGTGGTAAGAAAATACACTGTGACAGTAAATGGAACTTTTAATACTTGTAAAACAAGGGGGACTACCACACATAATTGCCGTTTGAAAATAAACTATAGGTAACTTTCAGTTTCACTTTAAAAAAAAATTGAAACTACATTTTTGTTGGCGCATATTTTTTAATTTCGAATAAATATAAGAACGTTAATTAGAAGTTAATATTAAGTTTACATACTGTATACATTAAAAAGTTCACGAGCTGAAGGCCACAGTTGCTAGTGCTTAAACCCCATTAGTTTGGTTTAGATTTTAATCTTAATTTAACTTTATATAAATCAATACAAAATATTCGGCTTTCCACTTTTCGAACCAGAATTTAATTTCGAAATGTAGCCAGAATCACGCTAGAGTCTCGAAATAGATTATAGCCAAACTGCCAGCACGAACTTGCGATAGTTGGCCCGCCACAATCGATAGACCCTTCTGCAAACACCGAAGGCAAAACAACACTCAACACTTAACAATAATCCTGCGAGCACTGAATTTTACCTGTTTTTGGGCCTTAACGCAGCGTTGATATTGCAAATATACACATTTTTCGGCTATAGAAGGCCATGAGAAGTTGGCAAACAGCAAACAATTTGCGCAAAACCATCGGGCCAAAACCATCTATCGAAAGCAGATCGCTCGTCACTAGAGAGCAACTAAATAAGTGTTGAATTTCATAAAATTGCGTTGTATGTGATTTGCCGAAAATTTGGCAAAAAGCAACAGCCATTTGGAGGATATATTGCAGACTTTTTGTAGAAAGTCATTGCAGTCAATTGCGCGCAGAATTTGGCGCTACATTCTGAGAATTGCATTTTTTGCGCAAACAAAAAAACAGCTCGTTTTTTTTTTGCTTGGCCACAAGAGTTTTCACAATAACAACAACAAGGCAGCAAAAAACGTGCTAAACTAAGCATTCATTGTTATTGCTTTTGTATACATTTCTGGGAAGCAACGAGAAAACCAAGATGCCCAAACGCGGCGGCGGAGGAGGCGGCAACGGCGGCGGTGGCCAGCGGTACAACAACAACAACGTCGGCAATGGCGGCGGACGTTACTCCGCTCTTGAGGATTTCGATGGTCAGTACTGGGAGCTTTTTGAAATACCCCGTCACCTATTACTTGTATTAACCATATACCATTTATAAATCCCCTACAGAAGTGGAGGATCGCCAGCGACGCAAGGATCGTAACAAACGTCGCGTCAGCTTCAAGCCCTCCCAGTTTCCCCACAACAAAAAGGACATCAAGCTGCGTCCCGAGGATCTGCGCCGTTGGGACGAGGATGATGACATGAGCGACATGACCACAACCGTCAGGGTGAGCACCACACCACTCCCAATACCAAGCCTTCAACTAATGTAATACCCTTTCGTTTATGACCAACAGCAGGATCGACCCACCTCCCGGCGACGAGGATCGCCCATTCCGCGCGGCAAGTTCGGCAAACTGATGCCCAACAGCTTTGGCTGGTACCAAGTGACGGTGAGTTTGGACTACCTACCATATAGATACCAGATTTACGTTGGCCGCCATGGCCTCCAGGAAATCATGTGATTGACTAAATCACAATCTGTTAGTTGCTTAGACATAAGTTAAAGGTCGCCTGTATTCCCATTTAAATGCCAGATTTATATTGGCAGCCGTATAACCATTAATTTCCAGATTATGGCATCAACTAAAGGTCGCTTTGCGTCTTGCATATCTTGCATATGTCTTGTAAACACAAAACATTCTAGTTGTTTTGTTTATTAGTTCACTAAACAACAACTAGAAATCCCAGACTGGTCCATATAGATACCAGATTTACGATATCAGCCACATAACTATTTTTGGTCACCCAAAAAGTCATGTGATTCGTTTGTTAGTTATTTTCATAGGAACAAAAATGGTCGCTTTAGGTGCCGCAAACATCCGCAAAGAGGGAGAATCGCATAAGTTGCAACTTTCTTGTTTATTTATTTATTTATTGACACACTGGTCCAGTGCTCCACTGACTTACCGCCTGGGCTCGTTGTGTTTATTAATTAATTTCACTCGTAAAAATCGTAAGGCAAACAACAAAGTGTGGGGGTGAGGAGGTAGGCAGTCTTCTCTACACAGCTAACGACAATCGCTACAACAATTACAATTGCAAGCCAGCGAGCGGGTAAATAAATATTTATGGATGGCTAAACTCTGTCGGTGGCCACAGTGCCATCCACAAGTGTGTGTCCCCATGAGCTCAAAAAAATGCAGCTGGAGCCGAGCCCTTTTGGGTGGTTTGGCTCGTGGGATGACCTGACCCGCTCTCCAAAATTGATTCCAAGGACAGTCCTATCTGCGGTTGGGTTATCCTTCGCCTGGCAACTGGGTTATGCCCCAAGCTACCCCTTTAACGGCCAGCACCAAACAACAGGCCGCTATCTCTCGGCGGGGTCGTAAATGCCGTAAATGCCCAATGCTCTGGCTCACCAGTTCCGTTTGGGCCTTTATTTCATCGACGGCTGGCAGACGGTGAAGACGTGTTCCCGACGCGTCGAAAAAGGCAACAGTTTGCTGAATCTCAAGAGGCCCGATTACTAGGGCAACTTATCAGCCGTAGCGATTAAATGTGCGATTAGGGTTGCCGGTCAAAACTAACTACTCATCACCTACCCAGCCCATCCAACCCAATCCACTGCAAGGACAATGGCCACCCTCGGCGCCTGGGACTACACCATCCTGGCGGTGGTGCTGATCATCTCTGTGGCCATTGGCATCTACTACCGCTTTGTGGGCGGCAAACAGAGCACCACCACCGAATACCTACTGGCGGATCGTTCCATGGGCATTACACCAGTAGCCTTTAGTTTGATGGCCAGCTTTATGTCAGCCATCACCATACTGGGCGTGTCCATGGAGAACTACCAGTACGGCACCATGTTCGTTGTGATCAACCTATCGTATGTGCTGTCCACGCCGGTGGCTGCCTACCTCATCATACCGGTCTTCTATCGTCTGAAAACGGCCAGTGTTTATGAGTATCTGGAGCTGCGCTTCGGCTATGCCACCCGACTGGCCGCCTCGCTGAGCTTCTCGCTGCAGATGGTCCTCTACATGGGCATTGTGGTCTATGCACCGGCTCTCGCCCTGGAAGCTGTGACCGGACTAAACCAGGTCTTCTCCATTGTCATCGTGGGAGTTGTCTGCACCTTCTATGCAACGCTTGGCGGGATGAAGGCTGTACTTATTACGGATATCTACCAGTCGCTCCTCATGTTCGCCGCCGTCTTTAGCGTGATTATCTGCGCCTGGGTGAAGGCGGGCAGCCTGGAGGAGATATGGCGTGTGGCCCAGGAGAATGGGCGCATCGATCTGAGCAACTTTAGTGTGGATCCCACGGAGCGCCACACCTGGTTCACCCAGATACTGGGTGGTAGTGCCACCTACCTGGCCATCTATGGAGTGAACCAGGCGCAGGTCCAACGCCTGATGGCGGTGAGGAGTTTGAGTGCCGCCCGAGCGGCCCTGTGGTGGTGCCTGCCCATTCTGTGCCTGCTGAGTGTGAGCACCTGCTTCTCGGGACTGTGCATCTATTGGTACTATCGCAATTGCGATCCACTGTTGGAGGGACGGGTCAACTCGCGTGACCAGGTGATGCCGCTCTTCGTCGTGGACACAATGGGCGAGTACACCGGCCTGGCTGGCCTCTTCGTTTCGGGAATCTTTTGCGCCAGCCTCTCAACGATTAGCTCGATCATCAGTTCGCTAGCAGCTGTCACCTTGGAGGACTACCTCAAGCCGTTGGTTAGCTGCTGTGCCAAACGCACACTCACCGATCGCCAGAGCCTGTGGTACTCCAAGCTGCTGTCGCTGTTCTTTGGAGCTCTCTGCATTGGCATGGCCTTTATGGCGGGTTCGATTGGAGGACTCCTGCAGGCGGCGCTCTCAATCTTCGGCATCATCGGTGGCCCTCTGCTGGGACTCTTCACACTGGGAATGTACGTGACGCGAGCCAACGAGAAGGGAGCCATCGGAGGACTGCTCATCTCGCTGGCCTTTTGCTTTTGGATTGGTTTCGGGCAGCCAAAGCCACCGTTGGTTAGCCTGGAAATGTCCACCGCGGGCTGTCCGCTGAACAGAAGCTATGCCAGCGACATTTTCCTTAAATTTGCAAAGGCGGAAGTTGAGGATGAGCATTACTTTTACCTGTACAGGATCAGCTATATGTGGTACGCCGCCCTTGGCTTCCTGATTACCTTCTTTGGCGGCTGGCTCCTGTCCTGGATATTCGAGCTGCTCAACTGGGACAACAATAGGCGCATTTACCAGGATGCGGACTGTACGCTGATCAAGCATGATCTCTTCGTGCCGCCGCTGGCAAAACGGCTGCAACGGCGGCAAATGCCGCTTCTAGTGGTGACCGGGACCAGTTCGGAGATTGGCGGCATCCCGGCGGAGCCGCGCCTGGACGAGATCGAGTGGGAGAAAAACAAGGCTGTGGCGTAGCTTAAAACCTAGATTTTCGAGTTTCAAAGCGCTTTCTGATGGGTTTCTGTAAAGACCAATTTTTGGTCTATCCCTGTCACCATCTTAACGTTGCGAATTCCTTTCAGCTGAGTCAGCTTTATTTTAGATCACTTCAAAACGAACAAAAAATAGAAAAACCACTTTTTCTTTTTTTTTTTTCCAATATGGTTAAGTTTAATAGCAATTTTATACAAGAAAATAATTGTCATAGAAAAAAAATGTCTTTTGTAGTTACATTGTTATTTATTCTGTCGTTTTGAGGGTGCATCAAATTGAATCCATCATATTAGAGTATCATATAGTTGTCGTTGTTTCCTCCATCTTCGCTCTCCGAAGAGCGTACTAGCCTTTTCCTCTTGTCACCATTATATATAAACTGAACTTTGGCTTTAATAAACGAGCTGATTCATTGAGCAATCAAAATTAACGAGTATCGGTATCGATGGCCTGATCGGGCTGCACCTCGGGTCCTTTGGCCACGTAAACGTTACGATCCTGGGACATCTTCCAGAGGGCCAGTAACCTGATCAGTTCACCGTAGTTCAACGAGTGCAGTTCCCGTTTATCGGCTGACCTCACTCCTGCGGTCTCCAACATGTCCAGCAGTGTGACCACATCGTATTGGGCCTTCTCCTCCTCCGAACTGTTCTGACCCTTGGGCGGAATTCGCTCAATGAACTCAGACTCGGCATCGCTATTGGCCATCTGGTTAAACTGCTGACCCACTGGCTTTAGATCTTTCTGATCCTGATCGGGGTTCATGGGCAGTGACCAGGTCAGGCTGGCGCCGAGGATCACCAGGAACAGGACCGGAATGGAATTCATGTTGGAATTTGTGTTGCGTCCGACTGCGAGAAGCTTTGCTGTGGCACTGCCGTCGTCGCGTCTGTCGATCGTGGCCTGGACTTGGGGTGCGCTCCAATTTCTAGCCGTCTTCTACCCCGCTCTCTCACTCGGTTCCCTATCGCACATTCGAACGCCCCGTGTGGCAGTGCTGACCGATTGCGTCATTCTTTTGCCCAACATCTGGCTTTTTTTTATAGTATTTTAAAGACATCAACATTTTTTAAAAATATAGACCCAGAAAGCTATGGTATTGAACACGTATATGGAAAAGAAAACTATAGTATGAATTGAACTCTGCCAAAACTCAAAACCCTTAAAAAATGATTGCTTTCATTTCTCACATTAGTAGTATATAATAGGTCGAAACTTGGCAGCGCATTCTCCTATATATGGTAAACAAAAAATCGAATAAACATTAAAATTTTATTGCCGACTTGTGAAAAAAAATCTATATCAAAATAGTATATGAAAAAAAAGAATTTTTTAGAAATTCCAGATTTGTCTTAAGCGAATCTTCAGAAAACCTAGTTTTTATGTAATTACAATAAACTCTAGTTATAAGACGTTTATTAAAAAAAAAATTTTTTTTATTTATTTTCCTAAAACTAAGACGAATCCTTGCAAAATGAGTTGGTTAAATTATATATATTATTTTATTAAACCTTAAAGTGGTCATATATGCATTCCTACATACAAAAATAGATTACTAAAACTGTTATTTAATTTTTAGCTTTTTTTATTAACCATTTAAAGCGAAAATAACTAGCATAGGCGCAACACTGTCATTGGGGGGCTGCTTTTGATTGAAAAGTCAGTGTAGGGTCGGTCGGTCGGTCGGTTGAATTATTTTATCTGCATATGCTGCACTTACATCGACCCCTCCGTTCGGTCTACTATATACATATGTTCTTTAATTGCCTGTGAGTTCGTTTGATTTCGCTTTTGTATTTTGTATTTTTCGTATTTTTCGTATTTTGTGTTACGTTTATGCCCGCCTCCAATTTAATTTATCTGCGCAGTTTGTGCGCTCGCTGTCTTCTATTTTCTGCATGTTTGGTGGCCTAATCTTATCTATTGTTGTTTTCCCTCTCTCTTTTTCTGGCAATTGAACAAGTAGAATTTTTAATAATTCCAGTAGATATGGGTCATTCAATCCTTACCCTAAAAATTACGCTAATCGGTAAAGATATTAAAGTAGAGGGGTTAATAAACTTTTTTTGGTATAGGTAAACCTTCTGTTCTTGACACGTTTTTGCTTAAACCATTTTAACTGAAGTCCCATTTTGTATCAGGGGAAGATAGATTTTTAGATTTAGGATAATAGTGAAATATAGTCCTAGAACTACATATACTTATTTTCAAATGTTTTTTATTTTCTGATTAACATTAAAAGTTGAGTTTTTCATATCCTTTTAACATTTTGATAATTCAAATGAGCAGAATTAAATATGATAGTAACTTAATTAGGCGATTATGATTCAATAAGGAGATTAAAAGAAGTAATCCGATAAATATTATAAGCTTGATATATTAAAAAAAATTGAAGTAATGATAAAACAAGGTCCTAATGATAATGTAAAATACATTTTCCAGTACAATATCAAAAGGTGTGGGTGGGTAATCGTGTCATGAATTCTACATTCTTATCGACATGGCACTTGTTTAATTACTTATCGCTACAATTATTTTTGCCTGCCTTCAGGCGTTGGGGAAAAAGCTTTTTCATTTGGTTTTAGTTTTTTAGCAAAGTTTCACTTGTTTTGCCGCCGAATCAATGTCAACAAAGCCATTATTGTTATTATTATATCGTGCTATTATGTATTTTTTTTATTACGATTTGACAATTCACGTAACGAGGTTCTTGAGTGACAACGGAACAAGTGGAGATTGTCGCCTCGCATGTAACGAGCGACCTGGCCAAGTATTGATAATTGCAATTTGAAAATCGCAATTGCCAGTCTTATTTGCATTTTCTTAATGGATTCACAGCTGGCATGCGACCACTTTGGCTTGCAAAAACTATGTATGCTGTGTACTTATATGTAAAAAAAAAATAGAAACAAAATAAAATATGAATACGTGTGAATGGAATGGCCAAAACATTCCAATGACGGATCGTTGTTATTTTTCATTAGTCGCCCGCTGACGGCAAACACGTGCCCGGCGGATTGTTAGTCACTCTGTTCTGGCCGAGAACAAAAACGGAATATACTCGTATGTAGAACCGTTGATAACCGACCGTAGTTGTGGGCCAAAAAGAACTGACTCACTGGCTAGAGGACAGACTATGGGGGGTAATTCCAAGTCCCTCACCTTCCGGCCCTCCATTTGGCTTCGTTTTCTGCGCTGTGTGCATCTCCTGATGTCATCGGCCAGTAATGCGTTGGATCGTTCCCCTTATCTCGCCAATTGAACTGGCAGATTCCCCGGTTCCACACCGCTCTTCTCGTAGTCCCACATTTCCAATCTGTTATCCCACTTTGGTACAGTAAATATCGGTAAAGTGAACCTTGCCAAAGGCTGCTGAAAAGTTTTTTGTTTTTGTTTGAGAAAATGTCTTCTTTTGAAAGCAATCTTACCCTTTTTAATGATCATATAATTTTAAAAAAAAATTGAAAAAAGATGTTGGTCAGCAGAAGGATTTGAACTCGGGCTCTCGTTGCCAGAGAGGAATACTCCATTGACTTCATTAAAAAATACAAAAGTAACTTACGAATAATTTTCCATCAAAAAATATCGTCATAAATTATTTGTAAAACCTGTTGGAAAAAGTACTCCTATTGTGGCATATCTCACTCTTTCCAATCTATCTATTATAATTTGTTGATATATGGTAATTAATTTGGTTGATTTAACTTATTAGTTAATTAGCATTTCAAATTGATCATATAATTTAAAATATTAAATTGCATTGGTGAGCGGTAGGATTTGAACTCGGACCAAAGCGTTACCAGAGCCGAATGCTCTATTGACTATTCTCTTATTCACCAATATAAAAGTAACTTACAAATAATTTTCCATTTAAACATAATGTCAGAAATTTATTGTAAAATCGGAAAAGAAGTAAAAAAAATTCCGAAAATAATAATAATCAATTAAATTTTTTTTGATCTTCACTTTTAAATTTTTTTTAATTTTGATATTTTTTTCACTTTAGTCAGTTAAAGATGCAGAACTTTAAGGTTGTTTATTTTTCATTAACAAATTAGTTTTAAATAATTATTAGTTTCCACAAAGCTAGATCCAGACGAACGAGAGATATAACCAGAATAGATGATTGATTCTCTGAATAGAACCCACTTTGTAACGACATTGGCTGCATTTTAGATTGGCTTGGGAAGCCAAGATTGATTTACCGGCACTGTGAAAAGGGGGTTTGCAATATTTAGCGATTCAACAATTTATTGAGAAATTGGAATTCAGGCGCATAACAATTAATAATTACTCGTTAACAGCTTAACTTGATTCATATTCATATTCACATTGTTTCGGTATGTACATTTTCAGTATTCACACACTCTCACAGCACACAACAAGCACACGCATGGCATTGAAATTGTTTTATACCAAAAAAAGGTGTAAAAAAAAAAAATGGTTTATATATTAATTTAATTTTTTCTTTTATATTTTGGGAGGTGGCAGTTAATCCACCTGCTCGTCATTGGTGGTGGTCACCGTCTTCTCCTGGCGCGTGGTGCTGGTTGTGGTGCGGGTTAATGTGAAGACGCCGGTGGTGCCCACTTCATCCAGCGGCTGGGCAATGATGGTCGAGGTGGTGCTCTGGAATGGAGGGTTATAATTTATAAATACGATATGATATGATATTATATGATATGATAGGGTATATATGATTTTAGGAGTGGGTCTTACGCCATTCTTGGTCTCCTCGGGGCTCCAGGAGCGCTTATCGTCCAGATCCTTTGAGCAACAGCCACCCATCCTTTGGTTTTTTATTTTTATTATTCAACTGGGTATAGTAGTTATATATACACCTTTCGGGATGCCTGCCGTCTATATCTCTCAACACGGGGGCCAGTTATTTGTTAATGCTTCATCGGCGCACGTCTGTCAGCGAATGCCGCTCCGTTCGCCGGTGTTCGATGGTGTGGCGTTCTGTTCTGTTCACTTGTTGGCCAACCAACCGAACAACCGAGCAACAAAAACAAAAAAAAAAGTATAAAAAAGCAGCCCAACCCAAGCCCAAGCTGCGCCGCCAGCTGCGACTGCGACGCCGGAGTTGTCATAGCTCCATATCAATTCTAGAAATATGTCTCAGGCAGCTCGTATTTTGTATTGTATTGTGTGCGTTCCTGTGTCGAATACAATAAATATAAGTGTAGCTATATCTGTGAGCTGTACAAACAAACCATTCACATTCTTCCACCCACCACGCACCACCCACCACCCAGCACCCCGGGCGAAACTCTAGATTTCTAGATTTCCCGGGAATGTCTGATTCCGATTCCCAACCCGAATCCCCAAATACAGTCATCATCTTTATTTTTGAAAGCGGAACCTATGGCCTTGTCGACTTAACGGTTCCAATTTCCTATCGATCAGGTGCGTCGCCTCGATTCCAGGGTTGCCATTGTTGTCTGTGACCGTTGTAAAGCCAACAAAGGATGAGTAAACATTCTCCATGCATATTTAATATTTCACACAGGAATTCCGATGAAAAAGTGAATATTTATTCATTTATTTCAATAACCCATTATAACTAAACAGATACAGTTAATCCTAACATTATATCGGGTTTAGAACTTGGCAATCACATCTAAATTACTAAATGTAATGATGATTGCCTAAGGAATACTGATCCTATAAAATAATGGAACCTAGTTCTTGGTTTTTCCCTTTCTTATATTTTAAAAACATTCTAACAAATATGAAGGCAACAAATAAAATAACCCATAATTTAGGACTTAAGTAACAAAGGCATAGCTTTAAAAATATAAAAACTTATAAAGGCAAAAAAGAAAATAATCCAAATGGGCCATTAGTTAGGTCTCCTACTTTAGGACTTAAGAAGAAAAGGCATAGCTTGTGGTTAGGGTTTTTAAAATCGAATTATTGATTAAATAAAAAAAGAAACCCGTTCTAGTAAATTGATAACAGAAAAGGGAACTACAATTAGTCATTTTTAAATACGATAATATTAATAACTAGTTGGTACTTGTCAATGGAGAATAAAGACCAGCCTTAGGCTTAACAACTCCAACCGATATCGGGAACTTTGTGGACAAGGGAGACAAAAATATATATATAATAATAACAGCTAATGCCCGTAATAAATAAATTTATCGCATTAATGCGCAATGAATGAGTGGGCTAGATGTGCCGTAGCTTCGGCTGTTCGCAGACTTATCTGGTTGATACTGTGTTGATATATAAATAGGGTCGAGTGGCGTTGGCGGTGGAGGGGATCATGGCGATCATTCACACGATCATTATTCGCATATGGCCCCCCATCTTTGTGCCCGACTGTACCCGAAGTGATCCCATAAATTGAATTACCACTGATTCCAGTGATTCTTTGTATACATAACCCTCTATATATATGTTATATATGCTAGGTTCATATGTACGTTCGTCTGTATGGCTGCATTCCGATTAGATATCGACCAATAATAACAATACTAGCCAAGTGACCGATATTGCTACATATCTGACCTTCGCATTGACAGCTGAAGAAGTGTTACTCTCGGTTTTGGATCCACCCCAGTTTTTTTTGTGTTTTTCGCTTTCTATCTGCTGTTTGCGATACACTCACCATATCCGGATAAGTGCTCGTAATTAAATCACTGACAGTTTGAGTGATAAGAGTGCCCTGCCCGAAAATGTAATTAGGTGACGAGACCCACATATTCGGAAATGAAAATGAATGGCATGCAAATCGGCGAGCGTTCCACTAATTCCTCATATCGTAATTGGGTGCAATGTGACGGGTAAACAGAGCCAATTAGCCGATGGTCGTGGTTATTAAAGTCCTGTTTTACCGAAATGATATTGTTAGAATTTTAGTCATTTTGATTTTTATAAATTTATGTATTATTATATTTGTATAAAAGCTACTTAATTTATAGATAACTCTTTTATTAATAACCAAATCGCTGTTCTTTCCATATGAGTTTTATATTTTATACTTCTATACTGATTTTTGTATATATATTTTTTTTTTTGGGGGTGTGCCAAAAAGATAATTTCATAACAAAACACTGAATCCGCGATTTACATAAGTTCAGACGATTTTAAATGAGTTTTACTGGCGAAAGTTGGATATTACCGCATATATTGTTCAGACTTGTACGTGCCATTTCTTATGGTTAGACTTTATGAGCTATCTGTGCTTTTTACACTCCCCGTTAATAGATGGATAGATAGATCACACAAAACCAACACGAAATGTGGAGCAGTTCTGGCAAATAGAACAGCGCCCATGAGTTGGCCGATGAGATAATTTGTGCGGCTGCTATCTGGGCGCCAAATAAAATAAACCTATATAATTGTCAAGTCGGATGTCTAATAATTTCCGTTATTATATCATTTGTATTTTTTTTTGCAGTTGCAAAATGCACAGATCTACGAAAAGGAAGCCATTTTGCGTGCCTTATTGGCAGCAATGTCGCCGCATGCCTTCATACCGCAATATTGGCGAGCGGAACGCAACTGCGTGGTCTTCTTCACCGACGACTACGAGTTGGCCGAACGCATCCAGCATCTGGGCAAGCATGCCCAGCTACCCGATGGATACAGGCTAATGCCACGCGTGCGCAGCGGCATTCCACTGGTGGCCATCGACGATGCTTTTAAGGAGGCAATGAAGGTGACCATGGCCAAGCGTTATAATGTCCAGACCAAGGCACTGGATCTCTCCCGCTTCCATGCCGATCCCGATCTCAGGCAGACCTTTTGCCCACTCTTCCGTCAAAATGTGATGAGCGCCGCCATCGACATTATCTGCGACAATATACCCGATCTGGAGGCCATTAACCTGAATGAGAACAACATGACCAGTATGGAGGCCTTCAAAGGGGTGGAGAAGCGCATACCGAACCTCAAGATACTATATTTGGGTGACAATAAGGTGGGTGTAAAAAAAAATATATAAAAACAATTATTGAAAACATTATTATTTGCATTTACCTTTGACTTTTTTCCCAGATACCATCACTGGCCCACCTTGTCGTGTTTCGCAATCTGTCCATTCTGGAACTGGTCTTAAAGAACAATCCGTGTCGTGCCCGCTATAAGGATTCTCAGCATTTTATCAGGTATACTATGGTGTGATTGGCTCTCGTCTAACCTTTCTAGAGGATGCTGCCGCATGGTCGACGTGGGAATTGACGCGTCGGGAGTCACAGAGGAATTAGAATTAGCACATTTCCATTGTTCTGTTGTCTCCATTCTCTATTTTTTTTTAAGCGAATGCGCTGCAGAATTGTTACCCCAAAACTAGGTGGAACTCCATTCCTTGCTGCAATAACGCTTGAATGGCCTTCAGCCAGTTTGAACAGCGGTTGAGCAGGCAAAGGCATTAAAAGGGAAAACAGTTTCAAATTGGACAGCCTTAAAGCAAGGGCAATCAATATGCAACGGAATAGATTTTGGGCAGGGCAGTAAAATATTATTTAAAAAAAGAAAACAAAAAAAGTTACAAAAAATATTTAAAAATAAAACAAGTACAAGTACAGTAGGGCCCAAGCTACTCGCCACCAGGCAAAGTGTACTACACTTTCGACAATGTGGCAACGCTGAACTTAAGACGAGACTGTACCACTACAATATACTGCACCGTTCGCACTTCCACTTGAGCAGGCGGACATGCAGCAGTCCCGAACACAGCAGCAACCACAACGCTGGCAAAATACCAATAGTAAAATCATAAAATCGATTAATCGAAGTAGAGAAATAATACCCACCAACCCACCCACCGCGCACCCCGCTACAACACACACGGGCACACACGCATATGTAACCACTTCACGCCAGCGCACGCACGCATGCGCATGCGCACTTGCGTTTGCGCGCCATGATCCAAAAAAAGCTGCGTGCCCTGTGCGCGCCGTTGTGTTGCGTTGTTGTGTCGCCGCTTGTTGATTATGCGGCGGTTGCCAAGAAGAGGAGGCGGAGGGGGAGGAGGAGGAGTGGTGCAGCGTCCAGCGGGAGAAGACACTACATACCAAGACTACCAAACTACCAACTACAACTGGACAAAGGACCAAAACACATAACGGACATCCTGCTGGCGCCATCGGCCGCCGCGTTGTGTTGCTAGTCGCTTACACTAATTTTGTACGACTTGGGCGCATGATCCGCCTGCGGATGCGACGTGTGCGAACGTGACGCGACATGACAAGACACGTCGACACAGCATTCAGCTTCTGCCGGCTGACAACGCAGCCACCTTTTGCTTGGGTCCACACTGCTCGAAAAAAGAGAAAAAACATCTAAAAAAAAAAAAAAAATAGAAAAAAAAGTAAACAAAAAATATGAAATACAACAAAATAAACACAAAAGATGCCCAGGGCACAATGCACTGCTCAATTGTACTTTTCCGCTGCACTCAAAACAGTAGCATCAAGCGCATAATGGCACAACAATGGCCAAGCACCTAGTGCCTCTGCCTCTTCAGCTGCCCAAAGCTCTGCGAAATTTAGCGAGCCTGTCGAGTAACCATAAAGTTATAGATCACATATGTATATGTATATCATGTGGCAGTGGGTGGAGTCACATCTAGTAGTTAGGATTGTCTGCAACACCTGCAGCGCATACAGCCCAAACAGAAAAAAACCCATTTAATTATTATTTCTCGCTATTTAACTCGCATATCTATCATCGCCTCCCTGCTAATGCCAACACAATTACGGCCGAATATCCACTTCGAACTATTTACAGCGAAGTACGTCGCAAGTTCCCCAAACTGATCAAGTTGGTAAGTCCAAAGTCCCCGTAGAATTTGTTCGTATTTGCCCCTATTTAGCAGAATGATGGGAATACCCTATAGTTTGACTGGCAATGTGGCTTCCTAAGTTGGACAGTCACAGCTAAGTCAGTGAAAAGGTTTCTTTCTGGTGAGGTAATGAAATACGATCCTTACAACTTGGATGGGAATTTATC